GCCATTCTAGTCTACGCTCTATTATATATGCACTTATTTGCGTTTGTAAATCACTTGTCTCTCTCCTATTGGTTAAGAGGGACATAGACGAATAGTATTTTTAGCCTTTTGTAAGATATTTACATCAAAATCCCACTTTTGTGTAGTCTTATCTTTATTTCTCCACCTCAAAGAAACCATATTGCCATGGCTTCTGTTCCGGTGAAACCATTACCTCCGGTTAGCTCACATCTTCGCCGGAACGTCACTAACACGGCGTCTTCAAAATCTTTGCCAATGCTCGGTTCGAACCGGCATTTTCTTGGAAATTCTACGTACAATAGATGCTTTGATTCATTGAGGCATATGAGGAATCCGGCGTCTTTGAGCCACCGTGGTTATACGGTGGTTGCGTCGGCGGGAAACTTGGCGGCCCCGTCGTGGGAGTCGTGGAAGCCAGATAAGACGGCGGCTGCGACGGCTTTGTTGTTGAGTGACATCATTTGGCCTGCTGCTGGTTAGTTATTCAACAAAATCATTAATTAAGATCACAGTTTTGGTCAACAAAATTTGAGATCACTGATTTTACAAATGTTTATTTCCGTCATTTTCTAAATTGATGCACTTTAGTTCTAAATCAGAAGAGCTACAAGTGGCGATTAGGGTAAAAGTTGGAAAAAAATGATGAAAAGAAGAGAATATAAATTTAGAAACTAATGGACAATAATATTTTCTGAACGACTGAAAGATGAGGAGAGAGAGAGGAAGAGATTATGTGTCTCTTCCTAAGGTCTAATGGTCAGGTATATGAACCTACCGTTCGAGTTTGACCAATTTATCGAATATATCTTGAAATAGTATTTGACTATAGAAAGGTATATGATTATTCACGCTAAATGTGAAGAAATACGTGTTGTAAGTTTAAACAAATTTAGGCAAATAACTATAAATTATGGCAAATCTCATAGTTTAAATTATGATGTAAACATATCTAAAGACCAAATAAACCGTTAATTAAAAATGAGTATTTGACGACACATTAGCATTGTCTTCACTTGATTTCTGGTGCGGAAATGACAATTAGTTTCTCTTTATATCGCATATGTTGAATTTTTTTAATTATGTAATCTATTTTAAATCAATTTTAATAAAATAAAACGTTAAAAAAGTGAGTATTTGAATCGTGATACATGGTATTTGATTGTGTTAGGAGAAATTAATTTCCTTTTCTTGAGAATCCGATAGTTTGGGTTTTAGTCAAACCCTATGCCGATAAAAGCCTTATTTAAAGGTTATAGCTGACTTTGTCCATTTACGAAATCATTTTCATATGTGTGTCAGCTAGAATTTAATTACCCATCTATGATTTGATCTCAGTCTTAAAACTATTGATTTTCAACGGGAGTCTAATTTTAAATTAAAAGTAAGTATTTGAATCGTGACATATGATACTAGTATTTAATTGTGTTTCATTCATAACATTTTTGTTAATCCCGATAAATTATTTAGCTCTCTGATCATGAAAAAAAAAAAATCCTATTTATAAATCTTGTTTGTGAATAGGAGCGTTTGCGGCTATGGCAATATTGGGAAGAATGGATCAAATGTTATCTCCAAAAGGGATTTCATTGTCAGTTGCACCACTTGGTGCCGTCTCCGCCATTCTTTTCACCACTCCTTCTGCCCCTGCTGCTCGGGTAAATCTTTAACCGCTTCTTCGTGTATTAGCGATCTAATATTAAGCGGTTGAACATTTAAAATTTGTTTTTGTTAAATGCAAACGCAAAAACACCAGAATTAGTTGTTAGGGTTTGACCCAAAAAAAAAAAGTTGTTAGGGTGTGAATGGTGTACATTAGGCCTGGGCGCGAAGCTGATCAGAGAAAAAAATACAGTAATTGTGATTCGATTCATTTTTGCCGGATATCTAATTTTTCGATTTGCTTTGTTTCGAAAAATTTCGGATATCTGGAATTGCGGATATTCACGGATATCCATTTTAAACCAGAAATAATTATTAAAGCCTTATATATTTTTTAAAAAAGTAATACTTTTAATATAATATTTCAACTAACTAGAATAAATATATGAAATTATCTAATTTTATTCGATATAATTAAAAAAATGAAAGATTAAAATGGTGAAAAATGAAAC